TGTGTGTGTGTGCGTATAAAATGCAACCAATCAAGCCCCTCGTCTCTGGGCGTACCAGAAGCGAGACATGTGGCTTTCAATTAAAAATTTAGAGAGGGGATCGAACTTTTGACGTCATTGTTGCCAAAAAGCAACAGCAGCAGAAGGCTTAGGAAGCTTGTTGTGGCATTTGACAGAGTAAGAAAGCAGAACAGAGCAGAAGGGTGGGATGAGCAAAGCAGAGCAAGGGCTCGGAACGACATGCCATATGTGTGTGTGTGTGTGTGTGTGTGTGTGTGTGTGTGTGTGTGTGTGTGTGCTACAACGCAAATAGCCGAATTCGAAAAGACAAACGCCAAAGCGTCGAAAAATGTGGGTGCCGGGCCTAAGGAGGGGAGAGCACGAAGCACATGAATAAATTTCCAAGCAACTGAAACGCTGAACCGAACAAGTTTTGCTTTGTTTTGGCGCCTCAGTGCATGCAACATAAAATGATCAGGGCAACGGCAGCAGCTGCAACAGTCGTTGCCGCATGCGGTATGCGGTGGCATTTTACTTGCTACATAGTTTGCCAGCTGGCGGACGACTTGCGTCTGAGCTGGAGACGCAGCTACGCTCAACTTGCGCTGCGAAACCCACAAAAATAAAGCAAAGACGACGACGACAAAGTATGGCAACAATGCATTACTTTTTGCAGCTATCAACTGTAAGTGTATGTGTGTATGCGAAAAATTAGAACCGCAAATCATTTTGAAAACAATGCATATGCCATGTCATATATGAGACAGTCGAATGGCTAGGCACTTGCCTCTCATCCGCAAGCGGGCCCCGAATTGTACGAATTCAATTCGAAGCTGAAAATTAAGCTGCAAGCACGCACAACATCTTGATCTTCTTTAATTTTTTCTGCTCTTGCTCGCATCGCGGCCTTGCATTCGGCAACATATTTGCTGATATGGATATCCTGGCAAATTAATCAATCAGCCGTTCACAGCATAAGGCTGTGTGGACTATTAATGAGCTTAAGGCAGTTAGTTCCCGGTCTCTTGAATCGCAATGCGCTCGTTGGCGTTGATTATGTGATTTACATAAGCATGCAGCACGACATCCTGAATCGATATCGTAGGCGCCCATAATCAAGCGGAGCCTCTGCCCCAGCTGCTTGCCAGCATGTGTCACTGACTTCTGGATTCGGAGTGTTTATAATCCTCATTTACCTACCAGTTGTGCACAAGAAGGAGCTCTAGGCCCGTTCACCCCTTGCCTTGGCCACAGAGGCCGCATTATGTGTACACAAGTATGGCAAATGCACATACACATACACATGGATGCCTATATACGAATATGTAAATGACGGCTCGGTAGCACCGCCCCGCGCAGTCCACAGCCCACAGCCCACATCCCACAGCCCAGTGGCCTCAGCCCATGGCCCATAGCCCTCACTTCACGTTGCCTTGTTTGCAATTTAATATTCATTTTGAAAAAGCCCATTTACATTTGCGCTTTTGTGGCACCTTTGCGTGTGCCCCACCCGTTCTCCCATTCCCTGCCACTCATTTTTTTGTGCTCGCACTGGAAATGGCAATGGCAGCGTCGCCGAAGCTTGGACGCGCAACGTGGCGTATGCGTAATCTAAGCAATGCCTCTTGCTTTTGTTCAACTTAATTCAACCGCAAGGCAACCAACAGCCAACAACCAAGAGCCAACAACCAACAACTAACAACTAACAACCAACAACCTACAACCAGTTAGCAACTGCAGTTCATTATACAAGTGCTAGCCTAGTCGGAGGAATGTCAAGAGTGTCCAACTGGTGGCAGTAGCTGCACGTTGTCAAAAATATGCAGCTGTTGACGATTGTTACCGTTGTTGCTGAAGTTGTTGTTGTTTTTGTTGTTGCTGTTGCAAGAAATCCCACAACAGCCCAGTGCCCCCTCTTTTCGTTTGCATTTACTTGACATTCGGCACTAGCTCCGGAACGAGCGCCGGTGGTGCAGTGGCTAGCATGGTTGTTCCCCAAGCAGCTGATCCGGGTTCGATTCCCGGCCGGCGCACAGCATTGCGTGTGCGATTAATGCACATTTTTTTATTAATATTAAAAGTCTCGTATTAAGGATCGAATTGATGTTTCCCACATTTCATTCTTTTACTGTGAGCACAAGCACAATTTAGCACGTCGTCGCACTTGTTATGTGTTGAAATACCTCTATGGGGATATGAAGAAGATATGCATATGAGTCGATAAAAGCTCTTTAAAGCTCTTAATCGTAACAACCAAGAAAAAATATTAAAGGTCTATTACAAATTCATCGCAAGCTATCAAGAGAGATAACTACTGCTTACATAATTGAGCGGCTAGTCCTAAAAGATCATTAGAGCTCGATACAAAGTAATCAATTAAATTTTCTTGCATCAAATAAAATCTCGCCGAAGCTGTAAGCGTAAGTTATTAACTTGAATTACACAGATGCTTACATAATTTTCTAATAAAAGCTTACATCGAACATTGCAAAAATAAATAAAAGTTTGTAACATTTTATACTTTTCCAGTTTTTTCTTGTAGCCCATTTGATCGAGCTACCCTCGCTGGATGGTAGCGAGGGTCCAACATTGATGTATAATCACATTAGGCTAGCTATACGCAAATGGCAGCTCGCAACGGTTAAAAGGACCAAAAGGTTAACAGGAAGTGGTCTACGCTAGTCGCTGGCATTTGAAAGGCTCGGACAATGCGCTGACTAACGGAAGCGGCTGAAGCTCTAACCTTCTGTCAATGCCCGAGCAGTCATGGACAGCGCATGCACTATGCAGTGAATACAATGAGGCACCCGGCCCAGCTCAAAGACCATTCAAAAAAGCTACAGCAAAAAATAAATTAAAACAAAACCATTATACCCTGATTTCCCATTTTCAATGGGTTTAGGGTATACAAAAATTAGGAACAA